CTGTCTGACCTGTGTGTGTCTGTGTGTCCAGTGTCCGGAGCGCTGTCTGACCTGTGTGTCCAGTGTCCGGAGCCCTGTCTGACCTGTGTGTGTCTGTGTGTCCAGTGTCCGGAGCGCTGTCTGACCTGTGTGTGTCTGTGTCCAGGAGATCGACGGACAGGCCCTGCTGCTGCTCACGCTGCCCACGGTGCAGGAGTGCCTGGACCTGAAGCTGGGCCCGGCCATCAAGCTGTGCCATCACATCGAGCGGGTCAAGCTGGCCTTCTACCAGCAGTTCGCCAGCTGAGTGCCCCTGCGCCGGGCCGAGCCGGGGGGCCGGAACTGCACGTGCCCTCGCCCCCTGGCTCCGAGGCCCAGTCTCGGCTCCCGTCGCCGGCCACTTCCCAGTCCGGCTGTCAGATCGGCTGCTCTTGCTCTGCGTTTGTGGATTTTCACAGCGCCGCGCTCCCTGGGGACTCTGGGCGCAGGTGCAGACGTCAGTCCTGGGCCATGCGGGGAGCCCGCCGGGGTGCCCCCGGGAACTGCCCCGGAGCACCTGTTCCCCTGCAGCGCGGAGAGCTGGGCTGGAGGGAGACCGAGCTGGGAGCGGGACTGGCCTGGAGGAACAGGACTTTCCCCCAGCGTGACGGACTCTGAACCGTGTTCGGGAACAAGGGTTGACTTCCAGTTGGGGCCTGGTGCCATGGGGGGCGGTGGGCCCGGGGGGTGGGGGGTCCAGTGGGGGTCAGGGCACCCCTCTCTGTGTGTAGTGATGGGGACCGTAGTCCTGCCCTCTCCCTCCCCCTCACGCCAGGTGCGGGTGGGTGAAAGTGGGAGAGTTTACTAGTGGAAGACAAGCACAACACCGACTTGGATGGAGAAGGAATGCCATCTCTGAGAAGGTTTTTAAAATGCAGGGTGTGTACAGCAGATTTTGTTTTGTTTTTCTCAGGAGTGTGTACTGTTGTTTTCGTGTTGATCTTCACAGGTGAGAAGGTTTGCAGTTTGCCCTACAGCTCCGCGCCTATCTGGCTGCTGACA